GGTTAGATAAATGACAAGCTTAAATTTTGTCAGTGCACCATTTGACACCATGGCCTGAACTCCTGGAGCATAATGCTTCACAAAGTCTCATCGTGGATATGTTAGCCTTATTAAGAGGGCGTCAGTGTGTCTCACTGACAGCTGATGATCTCACTGTGAACAAAATTGCTTTAATTTTCCAAGTTATGCAGAGTTGGAGTGCAGTCATTGCTAACATCTTAAGGAATGGTTTTTGTTTATAAGCCATGATAAACTCTTCTTCTTTGACCACTTCCATCATGTATTGCTAAATATTAAAACACCAACCGTATGTTTTGTTTGGATTTAGATAGCAGAAGCAAAAATTAAACACTCAAGCTTTTTAATGAGTTCGATTTTACATTTTTAAGTTTCAAACATGAAAAAGCATTGCTGTTTTATTTTTGCTGTTTTGTTTTAAAACAAAACAAAAAAACCCCAAAGAACAAAGCATACACAGATTATACATGGATTAATTAATAACCTCTGTACTATGGAAAAACTCAGCGTTTTTATTTTTTCACTAATTTGCCTCCATCTGTGGCAAACACTAAAACCTCATTTCAGTAGGGTGACACCACGTTTGCACCTGTTATCCTTTATGCCCACAGTCTTAGTAAATGTCACGCAACATGCCCACTTTTAGCGCGGGCTATTTTTCAATTTGCGCAGCTATTTAGCACTAGTTATGTGGGATTTTGATAAATCAACTGCTAAGAGTTCACTGAGACCACAACAGAAAATTCACCTATTTTCTCCAATTTTAGTCACCCACGCTTCGCCAGCAGCTGAAGTCCAGTAAAATACTAACTTAAAAAGCTAGAGTTAACACCTGGAAAATCATCTGAGGAGAATTTTCTTTTATTTTTCCAAGTTTAGTTTTTTACTTGAAGGGTGCAAGACTTTAAACTGACTGGAATCAGTCCATAGGCACACTGATCCTGTTCCAGCCTAAACCTTCAGTCTGTCATTGGATGTCTTCATTTCTTCCATGCTTATTGGTCAAACTAAATTGCAATGTAGACACCATTTTGAATCAAAATTTCAAATGAGTTACGCTACATACTATTTTAATACCAACATTTAGACAAATAGTGAGTATTCGAAGTCTTTCCAATTTTCTATTGAGGAACTTTATCCTGATTAAAGTTTTGCCATTTTCATGTCAAAGAGGAACTTGGAAATCCATTGTACAAGATGTAAAAGAAGAAGGGTGGAAGCAAATTTCCCAGCAATTCTGCCTTTCACCAACTAATCCAATGAAACAGCTGCCAGGCCCCTCAGAGGCTCCTTCTTTGTTGTTATTGTCCCAAAGACTGAGAGCAGAGATGGATACAAAGAATACAAGAGAGCGATGAAAGAAGATGATGTTAATAAGAAAAACCCCAGTTAAAGCTTCACTTTTAACAAAGGTTTAGTGAAATGTTGCGGCATAAAGTAAATTAGCCATGCTATTTTGTTACCATCCTGTTTAAAAAAATGTCATTAGGAATTTTATGATTTCTGTTTGTTCTCCACTTATAAGGCTTGTACATATAATTATCTTGCAGTGACTATGTATGCATGTATGTATGCATGTATGTATGTATGTATGTATGTATGTATGTATGTATGTATGTATGTATGTATGTATGTATGTATGTA